TATCAAAGCCGCACCTGGACAAGGTCCTGTGCAGCCTTCTCTGGGTGACCCTGCGTCGGCAGGGGGGTTGGACTAGATGACCCACAGAGGTCCCTTCCAACCCCTACTATTCTGTGATTCTGTGATTCAACAACTAGTGTTCTGATTTCTGTTCTGTCCCTGAGCAGTCTCCCACCTGGGGCCAGTCACCAACTCAGCTGCACCCACAGGAGCACAGGTGACTGAGCCAAAAAAAAGCTGCAAAAAAGGACGGTGAGCCAAGACAGCGAGAGAAAGCCTCAGGCTGCCGCTGTCTGACCCTCGGTTGCTGGTCTCCAGGTAGGAGAAGTCTCATTGAAGCTGGCCTGCAAGAGAACTTTACAGTCTTAAAACTGCCAAGTTTAATGTCTGAATTTAAAGAGAACAGCAAAGGAAAGACCTAATTATTATTCAAAGGAAAACGCCATCCGCACACCAAAAAGCAGCAGCAAAACAGAACTACATGGCCAGCAGTAACTCGAGACAGCATCAGGCCTGGCATCCTTCGAGAGGCACAGTCCCCAGGCCGCAGGCCACAGGAGCGGCTCATGGCCCCCCGCCCCGAAATACTGCGAGAGACTACGGCTTGGGAACAGGCAGATCCGGACTCACGTTGATCACAGAATCCTTGAACTTGATATGAAGCCGGTAGTTGGAGATGGCGATCACCGCATCGTTTGCATGGCCAAGATACTCCACTCCCTCGCCCTGCAACACAGCGAACGGGACCTGGAAGGGAGACATCGCTCATTCCAGACACAAGCAGAGCACTTTGAGCACCATAAATGCCAAGAGCCGCTCTCCCCACCGCCTCTGCAGAGTGCCTCCGGTGGGAAACCATTCACAGCAACGTGCCTTTCGTGCACAGAGAGCAGACAACAGCACCAAACAGCACCAGTACCCACCGCCCGGCCCCGCGTCTTCTCCCAGGGGTGCCTCGGGAGCCCCTGAGCACCTCCTGATGGACAACCGCTCACGGAGGAGAGGTGTGACCACCAACACTACGTGCACCAACAGCGGGTGTCTGGCAAGGTGGAGGGGTTTATGGAGGGTAAAAGCAGCCCTGGTGCAGGCGGCACGAAGGACACGGCCTCGGGCACGGCTCCGGCGGGAGGTGCAGAGCGCTCCACGTGGCTCCGGGCAGAGCCCAGCAGGACCGGAGCCCTCTGCCCCACGGCAGCGCGTCGCATACCTGACCCTGCTGCATCGCGTGAACGGGGGGGCTCTCAGCAGCACTACGAGGCTCCCTGGTACCAATCCAGGTAAGCAAATCCATCAAAGTGTTGCCCCATTTCTGCTAACAAGGCTCTGAGGGAATCTCTGTGTATAGTTACTTGTATGACTGAGGAAATGCCATTAAAGTTACCTGTATTATAACTTTTTTTTTTAAAAAATCCAGATAATGAAGTGTCTTTCTAGTTTTCGCTATCAGCCCAGATAAGCCGCAGCTATTTTTAAAACTGGGGATCCTGGCAGATGGCCAAGTTTGACTAAAAAAAAAAATCCAGATAATGAGGTGTCTTTCTAGTTTTCACTATCAGCCCAGACATGCCGCAGCTATTTTTAAAACCGGGGATCCTGGCAGATGGCCAAGTTTGACTTATCTTTTCTTGTATTAAAAGAAAGAAAAAAAGAAGGCAGCACAGCCTAAAATTCACCAGGCCGCTTCCTCCTTAGCTAAGCAGACTCCTCAGTGTTCCCTTGAACACCACCTACACCAGGTGATGTTGGTATCCAAATATGCAAAAAATGCCACGGAGATTGATCATTCCAGCCAGAGCCCTTGACTTGTCAGACAGCGCATCTGATGAAACAGCTCCTTACACCATAATTAGTACAAGTCAGACCACCGTGTCTTTCTCTCCAAGTTGTTTCTATGGCTTAGATATATGCTGCCTAAAAATTGAATTTCCTGGATTTCAGACTTCGTGTGCAAGTGACAATTGTACCAGCAACTTCTCCCTTCTTAAGTTACTTGTACAAAAATAATAACCTCAGACTGACGTCTGTCTGAATACTTTTAAAAAATGTTACTTATTTGACATTGAGAGACTAAACTGTCTTTATTTCTGCGGTTTATTTCTGCACGCTTGCCAGTGCTGGGTTTAGCTGGCATTCTTCTGCTTACGTGGCTCTTTCACACAGCAACGGAACAGGGACAGATTAGCAACGGGAGGGCAAAACTGCAAGAACTGACAGAGGGAAATCCTGGAATAAATCGGCAGGTGCCCGCACACAGCTTGTTATGAAGCCGATGGCATCTTCTCAGACCTCGCTTTATATTAAGAGAAAACCAATTTACTGAATGCAAATCACCCTTTGGCAGGGGTGAGCTTTACAGCCCTCCAGACAGCAGACAACAGCAGACTCTGCTCCCCTCCAGGCAGCCCCAGGCCCCAGCCCTCTCCCCGCAGCCCGCCTTGACCCCGCGCAGCCCCTCCACCCGCCTTCGCCCCTTCAGGTCAGCCCTCCCGCTGCCATCTTTCAGTCCTTGCTTTGACCGGCACCGCGTACCGAGGCGATGCCAACCACCGAGCAACTCGAACACCGCAGCAGCGGTGAGAACACCCAGCTGAGCCTGGCTCTGGCCACAGGGCGACGAGCAGGGGGACGTGGTGGCAGCGGGCCATGTTAAAGGAAGCTGCAAACACCAGGAGGCTTTGGCTCCCACCGCCCAGAATACGGCCCATGCTGCACGGCAGCTGCAGCACCCGGGTGGCTTTCAAGGGCCTTTTGCAGCAGGAGGCTGGCACCGTACGGAGGTTTCTCTTTCCAACAGCTCTGCAGCAGGAAAATGCCAGGAGCAACGCGTATTAGGGCCGGGTCAGCCATTGCAACTGCACGCTCCGGCTACACAGAGCGCAGCCCAGCCCTGGTATGCGGCCTGTCCCGGCGGGCGTCGGCCTGCTGCAGAGCGCTCCGCAGCCAGCCTCACGATCCCTCACCGTCAGCGCAGGCGGAGGACCGGGAATACCCAGGACGGCTCTGCGTTGCATCATGCTCCAGCAGCAGACGCGATGCCGTACAAATCGCGGTGTCTTGGCAGGGCCGGGAAGGCAGGCCCAGGGCGTACAGACCTG